AAAATATTGCAAACTTTTTATATATTATTTATATACTGATTTTTGTTTTTTAATTGTTTTTTTTTTTTTTAGGTTTACCAGATCCACCTGTAGATATACAAGTAGAAGCTGGGCCTCAGGATTGCATGTTATTGGTAACATGGCTACCTGTCACAATCAATCCAAATGGAACTTCCAATGGTGCTCCAGTTACAGGCTATGCAGTTTTTGTAGGGGGAAAGATGGTTACTGAAGTTGATAGTCCAACAGGTATTTATTTTTGTTTTCATTTTCAATTTTTATGCATTAAAAACTGGAGCATTAAAATGAAAAATAATAAATAATATTTTCAGGAGATCATGCAATTCTTGATATATCACAAATAGCATCACTTAAAAAGAAAGTAGTGACAGTAAGGACAAAGTCAGGAACTAATTTATCAACAGATTCTATGCCTTGTTTAATACCTGATAATTTATTAAAAAATGTTGTAAGTATTGTTTCTCAAGTAAGTCTTTATTTTTATTTTAAATTTACAAGTTACTATCATGTGACAAATAAGATCCTTCCTTCAGTTAACAAAGATCTCAATTAAAGTTATATATGTAAAACAATGAACAAAACTCAACAATAAATAGAAGTAAAAAGAACTAAAAATAAAGATAAAAACACAATATAAAATAGGAATACAAAGTAAATAATTTTTATTTTTTACAACATTTTTTGTTAATGATTTTTATAATATAAAATTTTTCAATGTTATGTTACAAAATTTTTACCAGGCTTTTCCATTTATATTATTTAAACTTTCTCTCTCAAGTTCTGTAATAGTTATCATTATTTTACTATAAGAATGATGCTTGTTTTTTACAATGTTCATTTGATTTTCTGAAGATGAACGCTATAATTTAAAAATATCTGTATTTTGTTTACTTTGTATAATTTTTTAAATTTGTAATATTGATGTTATCATTTTCGTTGATTTTTGAAAGAACAAATAGTACAGAAAAAAAAAAGATAACATCAGCATTACAAATTAAAAAAATGCTTAATTCTGTATTATTAATTTTTTCAAAAGTCAATAATGTAGAAAATGAAAATGATAACTATCAAAGTTTAATTAATATTATTGAAAATTTACTAATTATTAGAATCTTTAAAGGATGGGAACATGTGTATTCTTAGTATTTATTCATTTTATAAATTTACAGATCATTAAAATAATAATATAATTAGTTTAAACATGGTCTGGAGATTTTCAGCACTTATTTAATAAAAATCAACATTGCAGATAATAAAACTGAAAACTACAATCTTATAAGGAAAGATAAAATTTTCATTTAGATCTTAAGAGGTTAATTGATCAGAACACTAAAAAAAAATAAAATAACAAGAACACAAGCAACTGCCAACAATTAAAATATAAAGTATAGAGTTTTAAAATTATCTTGATAATTACAAGGAGGGAAGATAAAAGATATAAAAATAAAAATTGTTCTATTTATATAAAAAGATTTAATCAATTATAAAAAAGCTTCATCATATATACAAAGTGAAGTTTTTAGTTTGGTTTTTTTCCTCTTTATTAAACAATGTTTATAGAATTTATTCTTTCTTTCGTTCTATTCATATTTTCCTTGTGATTTTCTTTCTTCTACCCCGGTTGAAAAAGGTGATTTCTATTTCTTTTTTATACTTTCACTGGTTTTTTTTTTTTTTAATATTTTTTTGAGGTTAAGATTTTCTTAAATTTTTTTTAAGATAAAGTTTTGGGAAAAATAATCCAAAAATATCTCATCAGAATCAATAATCTTAATGAGGACTTAGCTTTTTTTTTTTTTTTTTTGTTTTAATGAGAATCTATCATTCAGCAGGTAAAGATTGGTTAAATTTCATTCACTCTTTGTTTAAATGAAATTTAAGTGATTTGAGCATTAAATTTTATTAGTTTGTTTTGATAGACTTAAAAGAATCGGAAATATTATCGAAAGTTGTCAACAATAAGATTTAATTAACTATTATAATAAGGAAAAGTAACAATAATTTATCTTAATTCTCAAATTTGATTTTTCTCAAACAATTGTTACTATATTTAATTTAATGTTAACCTACAATTTGAAATAAGCAGATAGTTCATTTATGATTGTTGATGATTAACGTAAGATTTTGAAAAGATAAAAACTATTAATAACGTTCCACAGATTAATTTACTTCTAGACTAGGTTTTCTCATTTCCCGGTCTTTTGCTTGTCCCGGGATCCCGGGATAAAAGTGAACTGTTTCCCGGGATCCCGGGAAATCCCGGGATAGAATTAATTATTTTTAAGGAATACAAAATATCTTGAAATCAAATGATATAATTATTTTCCATTTTTTAAAGTAATTTTAAAGTTTTGTAACCTCCAAAATCATATTAATAATGCTGTGTTAGGTCTATAGGCCTATAATAAAAATTACCTTTAAATAACGTAGAAATTTTCACAAATAGAAAAAAATTAATTAAAGTTTGCTGGAAACTGCATACAACAACAACAAAAAAAATGTTTTGAATTGAGTTAAAAATTAAAAAAATGAACTTCTAATTTAGAAGGTAATTTTCGTTTTTTAAATAAAATATAATACAAAATATTGCAAACTTTTATAAGATTTTAAAAAGCAAAGATGGTCAATACTCCGATAACTCACTCTAATTCTTATTTTAGTAATGAAAAGTCTTGCCACCGAGAATGCCCTTTCCGATTCAATTGATGTGATTGGAATAGTGTTTAATGCATTTAAGAGAAGACAGATATTATGTGTTTTTTCACCTGTAGCCTGGAAGATTTCGAGTTCGTTTTCGAGATTGTAGTACTTCTTTCGCTCTCTAGTATTCTTGATTTGTCTACCTTGGCTGCTTTAATAGCGGCATCAAGCTTAGAGCTCGATAATTCGGCAATTCATTTGGCTTTAATAATCAGGTTTATGAAGAAAAACTTCATACTTGCAGACTTTGTACTCGTTTGTATCCTTGCCCAATTTGCACAATCTGGCGTCAGGCATTTATTGAAGCTACTGGGCATGGTTAAAACTCAAGACAGCGTAAGCACAATTATTCCAGATATTACAGGTTCCGACAAGTAAAGAATTTTTATAGTCCTGCCACAAATAAGCTATATATTGATTATTGACCATTTGTGACATGCTATAACGAGCAAAATTTTAAAAAAACTAATAGGTAGGTTTAAAATTAATAAATACAAATGTATTCTGACAGTGAATGAGTTAATTATGCTTTCTATTTGCAAAATTCCTCAACCTTAACACAAAATAAGAAAAAAAGTGAATTTTTAAGAAATTTGCGGGATTTCCCGGGATAAGAAAAATTTCCCGGGATATTTCCCGGGTTAAAAAAACAACCGGGATCCTGGGATTCCGGAATCCCGTTTGAGAAACCCTATTCTAGACCTTTAAAGATATCTTAAGACCACCCTGAATTTTTAGAAAATTTTATTCTTAATTTAAATTTTTAACTTGTAGGTTAAAGCAGTAACAATTTAAAGCTCAGTAAATTTATGGGAAAAATACTGTGTTGCTAAAGTGATTAATTATTTTTTCAAACTTTATTTTTTAGCAAGGGGTACTTTCCCACAGGATTTTGTTTTATTATAATGATAAAATTATTAAATATAAAGAAATTAATTGCATTAGCTACTGTACCAAAAAACTAAATGTGACATGTTCTGATAAAATAATATTTTATATAATTAATAATATGTGATATGTTTATTTATAAAAATTAATTAAAAGTTATTAAATTTATTTTAATTAGTATGGAGACCAAAAGCAGTTTACATCCAATAAATGGACAAATGTTTCATCTAATACATATCCAGTAAGATCAGATTGGAGAGAAAATAGCCATACTATTTACAATGGAAAAAATATAGATAATTATGAACGTGATGAACATATTAATCGTATTTCTGACACTCAACATTATTTAAGTTCAAATAAAGATCACTACTCAAATAGAACAGTTCCTTCCATTGGTAAGTAATAAATTTTATAACTTTTAAAATTTAAATAATTTAAATAAATTTTTAATTAAATTTTATTAATAAATATGAAAGATGAAATAGAAATTGGAATATATCATTTTTCAGAAATTACTCAAGACAAAAATTTGATGAAACGTACTATGCAAAGTGACTATAATAAAAAATTAGATACAGGACATTATTCAGATTCTAGAGGATCAAACTATTATTCTCTTCAAGGGAGAGCTGCTTCTCCTACACCACCACTTCGAAGATTACCGCCACCAGGTCAGGAAGAAGAATATTATAGACAAAAAGGTCTAATGCCATCTTCTTATTATAATAAGTGGAAACAAGATGGAGATATCCGGAATTCTGATATACGATTGTTTGTTGGCCTCTTTGATTATAACCCTTTAACTATGTCACCAAATCCTGATGCTGCCTCTGAAGAATTGCCATTTCAAGAAGGACAACTTATTAAAGTAATTATTTTTTCATTTATATATTTTATTTATGAGTTGTAAAATAGATATTTAGGTCTTTTTATTGTCTTTATATTAATATCTTTGAGAAATATTTTTGTTTTATAATATCTATATTTATTTATTTATTTGCTTACAAGTATCTACATGAAATTGAAAAGTTGGTTTTTTTCAGAAATATCTATTATTTATTCAAAACAAAAAATTCATCTACAGATTTCTGGGTGTGGAACATTTTGGCTACAAATAGTGGCATTTATATTATTATTTTAGCAATAGATTGTTTTCTATATATTCACAATATATTATCTTATAAGATTCAGAGTTTACAGTTTTATCTTTTTATTTTCTCAATTTAATAATAAGTATTTAAATATTATAATTATAATTTGTTATATCAAAAACTAATTTATGATTTATTTCAGTTCCTGAAACAATTATTTCAAAAACTATTTTAAGGATGTTTGAATTTAGAATATATGAACATGTTAAGATAAAACATCCTGTCTCAAAAACACTAATGTGAAAATAAATAAAATTTCTTAATTTGTTAAAATTTATTTTCTTTTTGTTGTTTAAATATCTCAAGAAGTCAGAACAAGTCACAGTTTTAATCTCTCATAGAACTAATTTTTTCAAGGTGTAAAATATCTGTGGTTTTATTTTTAAGGTTTATAATATATTTTATTTATTTAGGTTTATGGTGAAAGAGACAGTGATGGATTTTATAAGGGTGAGATTAATGGAAGAATCGGTTATGTTCCTTGTAATCTTGTATCAGAAGTGCAATTAGAAGACAAAGATATTGCTCAGCATTTATTAAATCCTGATTCGATACATTCAACAGATATTCATGGTCAGTCATTTTGTAAACTCATAATTTAATAATAGTATATAGTTTTAATTAAAGAAAAGAATTTAAAAAATTACATACTTTAATATACAACAAGAAAAATGATAAAAAAAAATTAAATAAATAGAAAATACAGATATCTCTTGCTTAATATTCTTTCAGTAGAAGGTTTTTGGTTTTTAATACACAAACTTTATAGAACATATGTATTTCTCAACACAATGTGTTTTTGCCGATGCTTATACAGGAAAAATTTATATTTACAACTCAAAAATTCAATACAATAGCTTTAGTAAAACAATATAAGAGAAAAGTTTCAAACTATATTCCAAATTTAGTTGGTTAGAATGTTAGAATCTCAGATAGGCATTTTGAAGTGCATGACACATTTCCTAAGTGTCAAGAAATGGAAGAGCATCTCGAATATAACTAGTACTGGAAGATGTATGATGAATCTTAGTACCATATTATACAACACTTCCTATAGCAAAATAAGACTCACACAGTTTCCCATGCCCATTTTTTGATATGTCCAGTCATGTCTCCTTTGAGTATTTTAATTGATCAAAAAATGTTTTGTACTAATTTTGAGATGCTTTATGATATTTTTAATTTAAACTATGCTACTGTCTTTCATAGGAGCAAGATAAGATTAGGTCCATAAGAAAGGAATGCATGGCAACTATGCCATTGAATAGCCCACCATTGATTACCTAGCCTCTTGGTATACTTGTATTTAGCTAATATGTAGCATAAGCAAGATATAACATGCTACAATGTTTTTATTTATACATGTATAAGTATTGTATTGTGTTTTTGGAAACTGGTTTGGAGTTTTGAGTTGATTGTTATAAATTATAATTTTTTCCTTTAAAATAATGGGAAATATACACCCTATTAATACTTTTCCACAGAACATCTGATTTTCAAGAGTTAATAGATATTAAACAAGGAATGCCTGTATTAGTTTGTAAATTGCTAATGTGATTTCTTTTATCAATTATAATTCTATTGTTACAGAAAATAGATCCGATCCATGGGCACATCTAGCTGTTCGAAAAATGGTAGCTTTGTATGATTATGATCCACAAGAATTGTCCCCAAATGTTGATGCAGAGGTATGATTTTTTCAGTTTCTTTGACATTCATACTTTTCTTAATGAAATTATTTCTAGAGGAAATCTAATATTAAAAAAATTTTAATTTAATTTATAAAATTTCTAAATTTATTAAATATATTTATGGTATAGATTTTATTAAGAATCAGTATTTTACTCTGCTCAAAACATTTTTCTAAATTATTAACTTTTTCTATGTATGTATAAATGTGTATATGTTACTATTTACTTATTTTAATGATTCATAGTTTGGCATTGTAAGTAGGATGTAAAAATAATAAGTATTGGTTAAACATAATATGCATTATTTTTAAACAACTTACTTTACTGATTGATGTCTCAAACATTTCTAGATTTGTTATCCTGTTTTATAAACAGGATAACAAATCCAAATCTAGTAATGTTTAAAATGTTTACCATAGTTTTGTGTGGATAACCCACAGCAGCATAAGTATACCCCAAAGAAAACTGTTAGAAAAGAGATAATATCTTTGCATAATGAACTTACAATGTAACTTCATTTCATTTCCCCAAATATATATTGTTTATAATATATCTAAAATATAATTTATATATAATATATTGTTTATAATATATCTATTTTCAGATTGAACTGGCATTTAATACTGGTGATATAATCTTCATTTATGGAGAAATGGATGAAGATGGATTTTATATGGGAGAACTGAATGGTGTTCGAGGACTTGTGCCATCAAACTTCCTAGCAGAAACACCATCACATTATCTAGATAAAACAATGATTGCTCCAGATGAAGGGAATGTGAGTCCAACAAAAGGTCAGAGATGGAGCACTCAACAAATCATGTTTCTAAGGTTCAAATGTAGATAACAACGTTTTAATAATAAGCTTTGTATTCGCACACTCTAGTCCCGTCAAGTGTCTTTCAAGTGCATGTCACTGTCTCCCTGTGATCTGTCTAAACTAATATCTGTCGGCTGCTCTAGTTATTAATGAATATTTTATACAAATATATATTAATCTTAGATAAAAAATTTTAATATTAATCATATTAACTTAATAATTTTATATGTACTGTACATAATAATTTATAATTTATGTTATAATGATTTTTTTTATTTTTCCTATTCTCTTTGACTTAAGTTCTAATTTAATTTGAAAATTTATTATCTGAAATAATTATTTTGTGATTTACAATGATAATTTGTAGCTATTAGTTTTGGAGATTTTAGAGAATATTAGCAATAGATCTTTTTATATTTTTATAATTACAATAGAATTTCTAAAATTTATTTCATTATTGAAAAAATTCATATTTAAAGTATTGAATGTGGAAATTTTATTTATTTGATTTTTGTGAACATAAACAAATATAATTGACAGTTATACTGAGATATATAAATATTCTGTAAGTTACTGCTAGATTTTGTAATGTAAATTAAGTTTTTACAGAAAGACATGCTATTAATTGAAGAAATTAGAAACAAAAATATATTTTAATATTAAAAAAATTAAATAAAATGTTACTCTTGTTATAAAGATATACAACATATATAATATGTATAATGTATGGTGTTTGCTAGATAATTTCATGCCATTTCAAAATCATTTATGCTATTTTCAAAATTTTACATCTTTAAAGAAATCTATCTAGATTTGAAAAACTTTTCATTCTGTTTTTAATGTAAATTAATCCTTTTAGCTTTATAATGAATATCAGATTAACTTGTATTAAAAATAAAATGAAAATGTTTTGAAGCTAGATGAATTTATATTCCATGAGAGAGTAAAAATTTATTCTAAAAACAATAAATTCTATTTTTAGAAAAAAATCTTGATTAATAAATAAAATAAGAACTTTGAGATTTTATTGGGAAAAAAATATCTTATATAAACAGTCACTAAACATATTTCAGGTACCAAAATTCATATTAAGAACAAACTTAATTATCACTATTAAATCATTTTGAATAGACAGTTTTAGTTTTCAAATATTTTTTATTCCATTACCACAATGTTACATCATCATTATAGATGATGATGTAACATTGTGGTAATGGAATAAAAACAAAATGCATAAAAAAAACTGAATACAAATATTCCTCATACAACATGGCATTCCTACAACATGGTTTGATTCTAACATGGTTTGAGAATTGGAGACATCCCTGTATAAAACATCATAAGTTTTCAGAGTAAACATTGTCATTTGATATATTTTTATTCAAGCAAGCACACATGCTGTCTCTTATTTGCCCGTGGATTTTAGAATGTTGAAATTTTCAATGTTGTTTTGTCTTTTGCTGGGTTTTCTGTAATGAGAACTGATTGTATAATATTTCTTCTTCCTTGTCATAGCTTCTTATTCTAGCTTTCCTATAAACTAAGTGTTGCTGTCATTGGTGATAGTGCTCTAAATGAACCTGAAAGACTATTGCTGTGTTTTGTTTTTATGGATTAAATTAAAAGTTACTGCACAAAAATATTAAATTTTTAAAAGATCTCTTAGTAAATACAAACAAATGAAATATCAGATTTTATGAAAAAAGTAGAGAAAAACCAAGGTTTCCTGTTGATTAAGATCAACAGGAAAGCTTGAAAGATGACAATATTTTGCCAAAAACAAACCGTCTGCATTTAACAGTGTTTAGCAGCAAAACGAAATTACTATTAATGTGAAATACTTTTGATTGTGATTGTTAGTTAATTATTGATTGCTTTAACAAACATATTTCTCATAATTATGAAAAAGACTAGTTTTGCTAACTTTGGAACTAACTCTATGTTTTGTACTAGTGCTTTATTTTGTATAGCAAAGATTTGCATAACACTGCATTTTTCCAGAACCTAACTACTGTGTTATACAGGGATAACTATAACATTTTATAGAATATCTTTTTTTTTTTTTTTTTATCAGGGCTACAGCCTTAATTACTGTATTGTGTGAAGATTGGGACTTTTTATTGTAAATCATTTCCATAGCATGATAAATGAATTACCTCTTTTATTGATGATATCATATATGAGAAATTATCTGCAAATTCTGTCTGTTATATTGATTCTATATATCCATTTCTTAATATATGACTGTGACTTAAGATTTGATTTAATACTGGATATATTTTACCTCAATATTACTAGTTACTTTCATCTGGGATCTATTAAAAATTTCTGTATAACAAAAAATGACTCTTTTCTCTCTTTCGCTCTCCCCTTGAGTTCTGTTATAGTTCAGACTTCAGACCATAGAATTAATGAGTTACAAGGAGTTTTGGAAATTGTAAAGATAAAAGGTTTTAACTTTGTTAAGAAATATTTATTTAGACATTTTTTAACTGTGAATTACTTAATACATATATCTTTAATTTTTTATATAGTCACTCCTATTGTCTAAGCACTTGTTAAGTCTGGGAACTAGCATTTTTTTATGTATCCCTAGAAGTTTGCTGCCAGTCCTTTGAACCATGTCATGACATTTTCTTTCACCCAGTTGTTGTTGCCAAACTTTTTTCTATCCAGATGTTTCTTCACCTGCAAACAAGTGGAAATCACTGGGAACAAAGTTTGGACTATGTGGAAGATGGTCTAAAACAGGGGTGTCCAACCTTTTTGTTTCTCTGGGCCGCATTGGAAAAAGTCAAGGAGTTTTGGGCCACAAGTATATATAATATATACTTGTGGCCCAATATACAAGTATATTTAAAAATTAACATGTCTAGATTATAATAATAAGTATTAAAACTTTATCAAGAAAAAAGGATATTTTAAAAAATTACTTCTACAGACACTTTCAATTTTTACTTAGAAATAGATAAATTCATTTATTATAAAAGAGACTAAAGAAAATTTATTTGAAAAACACAAATATTTGTTTTATTTGGGTCTCTAATTAATAAAAAGCGACGAAACACCATTTTAAAGTGCATTTTTATTCAATTAATATAATTATAAATAATATGTAGCCGAAAAAGTAGCCAAAGCGCCAAATGATATTTTTTACGTCAAACAAAAAAAAGTAGCCACATTTGGCCCAATGTAGCCAAATCTTGCAACGTTGGAAGAAATACTAAATAAAGCTGGAGTTGTGAATCAAAGGATTATAGACCCAAGTGCGGGGAAAAAGAGGCAAAGGACAAAAGATAAAGAAGTGAAAAAGGTTGAAAAATTACGGGTCCATATTTGCTTAACAGAAGATCTATTTAACGTTTCTCACTACTACATCTTTTGTCCTTTCTCATCTTTCCCTCCTTTTCCCAAATTTGGGTCTATAATCCTTTGAGTCACAACTCCAGCTTTATTTAGTAATCCTTCCGCATTCACACATCTCCAAGTATTTGAAAATATTTTCTTTCCACTCAAAAATAAAATATGAATAAAGGTTTATGGCTTTGTGAAACTTTTGTTGAGTTTATTCTGTTGAAATAAATAAATAATAAAAAAATTAAAACATTTGTCGGTTTTGTTTACACGTTTATTGGGCCGCATTGGAACTTGCCTTGGGCCGCATGCAGCCCGCAGGCCGCGGGTTGGACACCCCTGGTCTAAAACTTTCTATTTGAAATTGTCAAGCAGTACACTGTGGTGACTGGTAATGAAATTTGGATTTATCACCATTTCCTGCAGTCAATCCAAAAGCATCTTTGCATAACTTGTTTTTTTACTCAAAGCTTGTTTTTTTAAATAATATCTCTAAGCATTTATCATTGTGCATAAGAAAAGTGTTAAAGCTACAGAACCTTAGAGAAAGATTGAAAGAGTGACAATTGAGGTATAAAAATAACTCATTGATATTTACTTAATCTATTAGTTTTTTCTATTGTTTTATGCATTAATCAGGGTATTTACTTGTGTTATTTTAGCTTAAATTATGTTTTTTTGGAATTAAAATGGGCATTTTTGAGATTTGGGAATAGATGTATTCATTCTACTTTATTCCTTATGGAAAAAATTGCTCCAGAACTTGAACTTTCTGGCATTCGAACACCTTATAGGAACAAATTGAACTTGAGCCCCAAGGTAACACTATAATTATAAAAAGTCAAGATATTAAATAAAGCATATCGAAAAAGTCTCATAAAAGACATAATTTATAAAAATAAGTGACAATTCATTATTTGTGCCATGGAAATAGTTTGCAAGAAAAAAATCCTAATCAATCTTAAATAAGTTAGACATGTAGCCCCAATAAGAAGATTAACAAAAGACACTCTGTAATAAAGCTATTTATTTATTTCATTTTTGTCATATTGTTAAAGACACTAGTGTCTGTTACTTGAGTACAGATTTAATTATTTATTGGATATTTTCAGATCACTAGTTATTTCATTATCAATTTCATAATGGAATAGTTCAGACTGATAATCTAAACTATTAAGACAGAACAGTTATTATTTACTTGTAAAAATAAAGACTAACATTTTAAAGTATCCATTAGAAATATAAAATTTTTGTCAGGATATTTTAAAATTTTATTCTTTAATTTTCTAAGATTGTAACAGTTACATTATATGCTTCATTAATTTTAGTAAAGCAATTGTTATTACTACTTGTATCCAATATTTTACTAGTAAAAACATCACTTGACTTATCGATTAAAAGATATATGTGAAGATAATATTTATACATAAATATTTAATGAATATTTGATATCTACCACAAACCATATCATGTATTCATTACTTATAAACTAAAAACATTTTAAAAATGCTAAATACATGTCTTGCCAATTGATATTTGTTCATGTCATTTTCAGATGATTTGAAATTATATTTTTATTAGAAATCATTTTCAGGTGATGGCTGTATGGCTGAGGTGGCTAAAGCATTCACCTACTGCTCTGGGGGCCTGGGATCCAATCTGGGCAGTCAAAAAACCATGGGAATTTTCCCTGGGCAGTTTATCCCAGATATTTAGGGTCTCATCCCTTGCTACCCAGATGCTTCCATTGTGTGCATGGCCAAATCTCGAATGAATATGAGAAATGGCCTTCTTAATGCCCACAGGAGAGATAGAGTTAAAAATATATACTGTTTTCCAGTTTTACTGACCTTTTATTAAATATTGTTTGCTTTTATTCTTTAATATGCTTTATGATATACACAGAATATATTTGTTTTTTTTATTATGTTTTGTATATTGATAATATATTAGTAGTCTATATATAAAAATTACAGTATAATAAATGGAGCATTCTCTTTTTTTCTCTTAACAGTTTTAACAAACAAAAATTGTAGAAGGAAAAACAAAAACTTAATTATTATTAAAATACTTTGATTACAAGAAATTAAGGATAATTTCTAAGTTACTAATATTTTTAATTTTTACACTTTTCATTGTTTATATTTGAGATTATTGTTTTATATGTGATAAAGTATGAATTTAAAAAATTTTATTCGAGACACGACTCTCATTCAAATCTACAGTTTGCATATAAATGATATTTCTATTTTGGTCTCATGTTGTTATATACAATTAATATATGTATATATTGATAACAACAAAAAAAATCTGAGCAGTCTCACTTCTTAATTTAATATGGTGAGATCAAGTTTTGTGATGTCCTGTTCCTTTGTGCTTATGTGATGTAATTTATCTCAGAAACCTGATGCTGCATGCTCCATCTCGTCTGTATTTAAATGGCTAAATTCTTCCTTTGCAGGTAAATTGTGAAGAATTCTGAGTTTTTTTTACTCAGTTTTTTCTTTATCAAAAGCATGAATTATTTCTGAAAAAAAATCATTTTTTTCTTTTACTAACTTGCATGTGAATGTTAGAATTATTGTCTGTCTGTCTATCTTTTAATTTAAAATCTAATATCAATTATTTATTGCTCTTTCTTAAAATTTTGTCCTCATTTTTTACTTGTGCAATATATTGTGTAACATGTCCATACATTGTTTATTCTAATCTATATAATATTTTATCTATTTTCTCAATGTTGTGGATGAAATATAAATTTCAACTTTTAACAGTTTAAGTATTCTTTGTTGAAATTAAGAATATTCAGCTTGAAAAAATAAATAATTTTTAATCTCACTGGAAGTTGATTAAGTTAAATTTATAATTCATTCACTAAATATTTAGAAATTAAACTAGTAGGAAAATAATTTATTAAACTGATTTATTCATTCACTTTTTATTCTTTGAAATTATATAACAGTAATAAATTTATATTCACAATCCTGCATGAAATTAGGAATGAATTAAATTGGAATATTGGGTATATTTCAATAGATATCTGATTAATAATTTAATATCTGCATGGTATTTTGTAAATAAATTATATTTATACTTGAGAATGCTTATTTGAAAGAAAGAGATATTCACTTTTATTGAATATTGAGCATTTGAATGAACACATTCAATGTTTTAAAATTCTGCATGATTGTAATTAGAAAATTTAAAAATGAAAATATACTTATGAGAATTCGTTCTTGTTTAGAATCGTCACCAGTCAGTTCAGAGAACGAGAAAGATATCTACAAAACTACCGATTCAGTCAAGAACTCCTTTACCACAGAGCCCGCTAGCCAATCCGACCACTGGTCCGCCAACTACAACATCAGTGACTATGACAATGCCGGTGACTACAAGTCAGTCACAACAAACCACCACCACCACCACCACCACCAACGTCACTGGTAAATTTTCCTTAAACATTCCATATCCAGATATCAAGGATATTAAAGACCAACAACCTAGTCTGGATTCGATAGTTAAGAAAGGACAAACATTTGTGTCGTCGCTATTAAAAAAAGTACCTAAGATGTAAGGTTGATATTTATGTATTTTATGTCTTCCAGGTTTTAGTAATCTGATGTATGTATTTGTCGATGGCGTTATGTGTTATTTATAATACAATACAATGTGTTATCACAGATCACTAAGCACAGTTTTAATGCTTGAAAGTTTTGACCTGGGAACAAAATAATGTTGGTAGTATAGATAATTCCACAAACTACACTGCCAAAGTAATGTAGTAAATAGGAATGTGGAGTATGTGCACAGATGTTGCCAAAATGTGCCTGACTCAGTATTCTAGTCCTTTTTTTTTCTGTTAGTTTAAAAAATGTATGTATAAATTGTAAAAATTTCAGTAAAAGTTTTTGTGTCGACAGATTTAGGCACTAGTAGCACAACTGCATCACACATGTCGATATCCTGTCGTCATAAAAACTTATCTGTTATCATTATTATTTTTAAAATATTAGAATTGCATCTAAGTCAATTCTATGCCTTATAAGTTGTATCCACCTTCATCTTTACATAAAGAAAATAAATTTCATCTTATACTATTTATAACAGTAATAAATTTATTAGAAAATAAAGAAAATGCTCTTTAAAATATAGCAATGATTTATTTTCCCCATTCGTATGTATTTAAAAGAAATAATACATATCTTTGTGATTATCCAAATGTGATCTTTCCTTGTATTATTGCATAAATGATTCTATACTTGTTAAGGATTTACATTTCTGATATATATAATATACAGTATAAGAAATGTCACATCAGTGTTTTTCAACTGATGCTTGTTATAGTACTGCTTTGCTTTTTTGAAAACATTTTATGATTTTTCAAATTAAAAACCCTATTATGTTTATTTATTTAAGAAAATATATATAAAATAAGACAGATAAAATAAATATTAAACTGTAGAAAAATTTTACATAATGACCTGGTAATTATCCATTCTTTCGATTCGACATTTTAAGTTTCCGTATTCTTTATTTTAATCATTAAAAAAACTAAACAAGTAGCATCATAGAGATTTATAACAGGCAATATTGGAAATTTTCCAATGATCTCGGGTAATAGTAAAGCCATAGATTGTTCACATCTCTAAGTGCTGCCAAATTTATCTTGAGAGAGGATAAAAATTTTGACTGTTGTATATGAGTATATAAATATATATATATATAAAATGTACACATACATACACACAATATATATAATATATATATGTATACAAACATACAGATACATACACATCACGATACATACATTTACAAATACATACATAAAAACATGAATACATTCATATACACACACAAATACATAACACACATATAAAAAATAAATGATTAAATTTTGCTTGATTATAGAATTAGAATAGAATCTTTATAAATGCATAATATTTGGTCTAATTTATCTTCATGCTCAATGTCCAAATATATTATGCAAGTTATTAAAAAAGTTTATATAGTTGCTTTAGATTGAACAAATTATAAAAAAAAACTAAAAATTTTATGGTCGTGATCTCTAAATAAAATTTGTTTACATTTTTGAGATGTTCTTGTTAAAAGTTTTAAAAATCTTCAAAGTTTAATATTTTATTTCCATAGTTTTAAAAACCCGTAAGTGATCTGTAGAGATCTAGCGAGTAATTCAGCTTAGATAAGAATATATTTGGACTAATAATTTGATGTAAATAGAAGAATGCATTGAAAAATCATAGTTGGCTTCATTATTAATTAGTAGTATGTATAAATTTCTGTTATTAGAATGAATGTTGTTTGTATTGTTAAATTTTGTCTAGTAAAATTAATTATTTTAAATATAATAATAATAATAATAATAAAGCAAACTGTAGGTGCCTTCAGTTGCACTGTTTCACAATGTTGATTGTTGCCAAATGTTCTGCGGACCAATCAAAATTAGAACGATGTTATTTTCTTTGTTTTATGAAGATATTGATTTCGATTTATGGATAATAAATAACAATGCATTTTCTCACATAAATGAATTGTTATATTTTTTGATATTTATAAAAAGAAATGATGCTTTGTAAATGCTTTTATGTTCTTGTTATTGCATCATCATTATAACAGAAAGAAAAATCTTCCTATTTTTTTGTACTTATAGCCACAGAAAATGTTATTGATGCAACTAAAACTATTTGTTTCATGAATTCCAAATCAAACTTTTTCATATCTTGGTATGATTTTTGGAATTACTTATTTTTTACCTATTCAGAATGTTTGTATTATATATTGTATATATGTTTTACAGGAGAGATCTAAATTCCAACCTATTTCAGATAAGAATTAGCAAAATTTAAAATTAAAAAGCTTGTATAATCCAATTTATTTGATATTTTAATTAAATGGTGATGATGATTCTTTGTTGAGTGGCATGTTATTGTTATTTACTTATATAACACAGAAATTTATATGAACAAAAATCTTAGGTTTAAACATCAACAGAAGTAATTACACTTCAAATTTTAAATTAATTTAAATAAGTTTAATGGTTAAGTTTCTCATTACATCAATTTTATTGTGCAAAAATTATTATCTGACTAAGAGATTTTCTATAATTTGCATTTATTCATTCAGCCAGAATTGTCAAGCCCAACAAGAATGAATAAAAGGAGAATAATTACAATTTTTTGGATCTGGCTGTAAGGTTATTATATTTTTATGAAAATAAATAATTAATTACATGAGCAATATCAAATTTAAGAGATATCAGAGAAAACTATAATGATATTTTCATTGAGTGCAAACTTGATACTAAGAAGTTACAAACTGTATATCACACACAAGTTTGCCTGAAAAAAAGACACAAAATTAGAAAAAGATTTGCACTTTTCTAAGAATATTTCACACAGTATCAATAACTGTAGCTCAAGCAGAAAGATCATTCAGCATACTGGCAAGAATCAAAAAATATTTTGAGATCAACTATTTGCCAAAATTGCTTCAATAGTTTGGGAATTCTGGCCAATGAAACACTAATAACTAGTTAATTGGACTTCATTATATACAGTAATTCAAGTGTTTGCTAGCAAAAACGTAGGAAAGCCCAATTATAAAATATGTTTTACTTACTAATATAAGAAATAGCAAGATCACAATTTCAATTTAAATTAAAAAAAATAAATAAATAAATTATTTATTACAAGAGTTACATTTTCATTTGTTAGAAAAATGTATTGTTATTGACTTCTTCAATTTGTAATTTTTTTATGCTCTTTTTTTTTGAGATTGAACATACATAATATACAAAATGTACAGGTTGATCATAATTAGAGTAAGCAATCAGCTCTCACTAGAAAGAACTGTTGAACAAATCTCAAACAAATTTGGTATACATAATGTCCTGAATATGTGGTTTTGATTTTCAGGAAATATTTTACTTCAAAATTCAGCCACTAGGGAGGAATTTGGCACTGCTGTCCCCTTAATGTGCATATTGCAAGTTTTGTAATGAATTGCAAAATCATAATAATTCTTCAACAGATGAACAGTTGCAGTGCTCACTTTGCCTGAATGTGCTTACTTGTTGAACTCTTCTTCACATCTGCAATTGAAATAAAATTATTGAAATTTGTTTCTTAACTCCAAAATTCATTATAAAATGGACAGTTGTGCCAAATTTTGCCCTATCAGTTGAATTTTGAAGTAAAATTTTTTCGAAGATTGATAGCAAATTTGACAGAGATTTGTCCAATAATTCTTTCTACAGAGAGCTCTGAACACCTGCTCTTTAATTATGACTATCCATTTATTGTAATCCTGATGTCTATAGCAACCAACACCTTTCATGGGATCTCATGAGCATCTTGCATCAGGTTTATTATGAAATGCAGATATAATGAAATTTCATTATATAAATAATGAAATGAGTAAGATTTAAAAATAAATAATAAATCACATTTATTTTTAATTCTATGATTTTTGTATGCCAATTACATTTGACATTTTATTGATAATAAACAACACAGAAATTCTTTAGTATAAATTTAATATATTAAAATAAGATTAAAATAAGAAATATCATATATGAACTATATGAAATTCCATTGAAAAATATAAATTAGCTTGATCTATTAAATTGTGGAATTGTTTACATAATTACAAACATCCAAAATAAAAATTTTAAGTTTGATTATGAAGGTATTAAACTAAACTTGAGTTATTTATTTAAACTCAAGTTTAGTTTAATAAATTAAATTAATAATAACCATCATTACATCTGTCCCATGTCCCAAATACCAGGTGATTGTAATTAAAGTACTTGTGTTCAATACTGTCTAGAGAAATATTAACAAATTCAAATGAAAACAAGTTTGACATAGTGAAATTTCAGAACATATGGAAGATATTTCCATAAAAAATATTAGTACCAAAACTCACCACTATGGCATTTTTGGCTATACGAGCAATAAACATTTTATCAGTACAAGACACTGATCATATAGACATTAAACATGTTGTATAGAGAAAGACCTTAGTGATGCAAGGGATACTGTTCAATGTGGTCCCCAATCTAATGATATAAAATCTGAGGGTGATAAACATTGTGTTCAATAGTCGACCGTAATTGATCCTATATAGTGTTTCTTGGTAGCATAAATTATGAAATGCAGATATGAGTGGGTGGATATAAATATAATCATTACAATGCATTACAGAATGGGGATGTTTACAAAAATGTTACATAATGCTAGGGTCTCGACCTTTGGATAATTGGATAATAGAATGATTCATTTTTGTTTCTGAAGCATTGGATAGTAAGCCATACTATTATGTCACTGCTTTGGACATTATACATGTAATTAATAAAATAGCATAATATTTGGAACTCCAAGCTGCTTATTATTCCTTAATACAATTAAGGGAGATTGATCAAATATATGCATTAGTGCTCAGATACTATCGATAGCACTATTGGTTCTATTGATGTTTTAAAAATATCAATTGAATTTTCTATCATACTTTTCACGTGAAACTAATATTTATTTTTATCATCATATTTTAAAATTAGTTTTAAAAATTTTTAATATTTTTACTTTTGAGTAAAGCTGCATATATTCTTTCTAGTTTAACCATTAGCCGTGTTATTCGCAGTACTGTCATTGAATACAATATTTCTGTTATCTTTAATTGTGAAATGTCCATCAGAAAAAAAATCTAATATTTGGAAGTATTTCCAAATTGATATAGAAAGACAAACAACTTGCAAAATGTATTTTATGTAAAAAGCATAAAACATCAGGAAACAAATAAAATTTAAGGGATTAAATAAAACATTTACATCCTGTTGAATTTAGAAAAATTTTTATTAACAATAATGACGACTCAATGTCAACATCTAAAGCTCGAGATTAGAAAACTCATCATGGAGGTGTCAGCGGTCACTTCCATGATGAAAAGTAAGTCAATATTTCACCAGTGATCAAGATATTTTCAATATCAATAGCAAAAGGGAAACTAATATACTAAAATATTGGCAATATTCATTGCATGTGATTCATGACTGTATTCTGTTTTTCAGAATAAGGATTTGTGCAATTTATACAAGAATTAAAACCAAGATAAAAACTACCTCACCAAAATGTATCAGTAATGTACTTGTACCTAACTTATACAGTGTAAAGAAAAAGTAATTAAATAAATCTGATTGTTTGCTATGTCTTTATTTGATGTCCACTTTACATTGATGGTTAGCAATCAATAGTAAATCAGATAGTATTGATACTATTGATGTGCATAAGAGTATTGACAGGTATTTCTATCAATAGTATTCAAACACTAATATGCATTATGTAATTTTGGGTTGGGTATGCGTGAGAGTGTTACAAAGCATTATGGGGGACAGGATAGTAACTGAAAAGTATAAAAATAGCATTGTAATTTATGGATGATTCTTCACATGCAGTGTGATAGTCTTCCAAGTTTGTCAAATCATACAAATGAAACTGCTTTGTGATGAGATTTTGTATTAATTTTTTTAATGGAAATATCCTGAAATGTCACTTTATCAAATTTTATGCATTTGGACTGCTAAATATCTCTATGCAGCATTGAATAGGGTGACTAATAACACCCAATCATTTAGATATGGTCTTGTGAAGTCCATAGGTGAGAAATTTATTTTCTGTGATTTTTGATAATGGTAGGATCACATTGATAGCAGATGCAATAAGTAAATTATCAGAAAAGCAAAACAGAATAATATAATGCAAATAATAAACCACAGAATGAAATTTTACATACATGATTTGTAAAAAATTCTTACCTTTCAAATGGAATGTAAAATAGAAAGATAAATGTATATATTTTTTGGATGTTATTATATAAATAAAAAAGTAATAATAGCATTACAGGATAAACAGGAAACTTTGGAAGTCTTTTTACAATTTAATTTGAAAGATGATGATTTTTAAATTAATTCCTAAATAACATATATTTTATCAATACTTTTTTGTATTAGAAAAGATGAATAATTTCTTACTCATTCTTTAAGTCATTACTATTTTTTCAATAAACATTCTGATCCTTACAGAGGATGTTTGAGGTAACAGAAGTGTGTATGTAGAGAAATTGAAATGTATTAAAAAAATAGTAAAAATTAAGAAATTTTCAAACAAATTTGGATAAAGTAAAAATATAGAATAATGAGCAAAGAATGCTTATGATAAAAAAAAAAGAACTGACAATTTAAGAAACAAAAACAAATTTCAGTCAATTAAAGGCAACAAGAAGACAATGAAATGAAGAACGAAAACAATTTTGAATTCTGTTCATATATAAATTCCTTCCCTTATTATTGATGTGTAACAATTATTAGAATGAGTGAAATTCAATGTTTTTATTGATAAAATGTTTGTTTAATATTTTTCAACTTTTTAAAATATGATTCTAAAATGAATTTGTAATTTAACATACAATAAATCAAAATTAATACAGGTTTATCTCTAATCTGATGACTGGTTATCTCTAATACTTGGGACTGTTTTGGATTTTGAAAAGATATGATGGAGCAAAGAGAATTATCACTGTAAGATCCTTTTGACATTTTAACAATACACTACATATCAATGCAACAAAAGATGATGCAATAATGCACATGCAACTATGTTGCATGTGCATTATTGCATCATCTTTTGTGGCAGTGTTAGTCCTATTCTAAAGCTTCCTTCAATAATTTTATAATCTGGGATGGCCAAGACGGTTAAGGTGTCTGTAGATCTACTGTCCTGGGAACCTGGGATCTAATCTGGGCTGGTAAAAAAAATCCTGGGAATTTTAGTAGTCTGTCCAGGATATATTGTATCCTATCCCTTACTAACCTGGGCATCCCTATTGTGGGTCTGGCTGAATCCATGGTATGATATAAAAAAAAAAAAAAGACCCATTAGTACCCATGGTAAAAAGAATAAAATTATAATTTTACATTAAAATTCATTGAATATTTTAAGATAATTCATTCAAAGATTCATTGAATATTTTATTTAAATTTGTAAGAAAGAATCTGTTAATTTCTATTTTAAAATTTTGTGTACAGAGCATATATAGAATGATTCTCTGCAAGCCTTTTATAGGATACTGAGGTAGCAATTTTAAGGCACTCAAGCACAATTACGTGGCATACAATAAGATTGCAACTGTACTCATTTATGTACTTGAGACAGCTGTATGCTGAGTTATATTAATGGTATAAATTAATAGATATTACACACCACCATAAATTATGATGGTTTGTAATAATTTTTGCTAATTAATTCCAAACAAAAATAATCAGTAATTTATATCAACATACATTTTATTAAATAATCTACAGTCATATCTAAAATTAGATATACATTTCTATAGTTAACATGTCTAATGAGTTATAAAAATCTTGAAACTTTTAGAACGACCAAATGGCTGACAGAATTTTCTGTATAATAATACATTTGAATAAATTTCTTCTTTAATTTACATCAATTTCTTTTGGTTTAAATCTTGATATAGGAAAAACGTTTTGTACCCTGCATGCCCTTTAAAATTTGATTGATTGTTTTGATATTATAAATAAATGAGAATTTTTTACAAACAACATTGATAACATTGTGAAGCTGACAACTCTCAAAGAATGATGAATAAATGTGAGCTTTTAAAATAAAATTTCTCCAGATAAATTTAACTATAGCAGTTCTGCTATTTTTGCCTTAACTCTAATAATATAAATATACAGTAACAAGTGTAAATATACATATTAACAGAATTTCAAAATGATTTAAATAAGTGTGTCGGTGGGAAATCATAATTATAACAAATGTGGAAAGGGAAGAGATGGTAAGAGAGGATCAACACAGTTCACCCAAAAATTGGCACAGGTAGCATGATACTGTCTTCCTCCATAAGTCAGTTTATGGCAATCTTTATCCACCTCGTGCAAAGTATTTTTGGCATCTACATTTAGAAGACAAATCCCACAAGCTTTCTGTAGGTTTTCTGGTTCACTCTGTAATATACATGATGAAAAATCCAACAACTTCTCTTCTGGCTAAAAAAAAAAAAAAATATGATTATTTAATATTAAAATAAATAAGAGTTAGTTAAGTGATTTACCAATATAGATGATGATGAAATAAAGACAGTTATGCTATTCCAGGAATGTTCAATATCCTGTAATAGTTGCCGAAGTCTATCTGTTTGTTTCCCCGAAGATTTTGCCGAAGTAGCTATCCTGTTGACAACTTTGTAAACTTCAACCAAATCTAAATAATAATAATAATAAATGAATTTTATCAAGTTATTAGTTAATAAATTTTTTAAAGTGAAAAAATTATAAAAAATAACAACTTTAAATATTTACTTTTAACATAATTTGAACCTTCTTCAGTTCCAATTACTTTATTACAAACAGTACTACTATTCATTTGATTGAAAATGTCAGTAGCATTATGTATTAAATTATGACAACTCTCTAGACATTTCATCCATTCGGAAACATGAAGATCTTCTACATTCTAAATAATAAAAAAAATTATCAAGAAAAGTAAGTAGTATTTTAAATTCTCATTTAGTAATTTTTAACTTACTGCTGATCCATTGAGTCGGATGAAACTGTAACGATCAGTGATGGTAAAAGGTATAGTTGACTGGACAACACTATTTTCAACTACAACAGGTTGACTGGGCAATTCTATATATTTAAAACATTACTAGAAAAATGAAATTTTTAGTGAAAATATTATGATTTAATTAACTAACCTTCTTCAGTATTTTTTGCTAGATCAAAAGAGGGTGATGGAGAATGAGAATGAGAAGAAATTTTTCTAGAAGTGGCAAAGCTTTGCATTTCACCAAATTCATCTGTATTATCCAAAGAAGATCCTTTTAAGTCAAGACTACGAACAGAACCTTGCCTGCTGAGAGAACTCTCAATGCCAGATGCTTTGAAATTCAAACTTGGAATAGAGCCGTGACGGCTGAGAGATGACTGTGATTCTCTACTGTGACATCCAGAGGCAATTCCATCAAAAGTGCCAAATTCTAAACTTGATACTGATTGACTTTCTGCTAAAGAAATGCTGTCTTTACTCTGGATATTTAAAACTATCTCTGATGTCATAATTTGACTGGGATTAGGAAAAGTGGTAATATCCCCATTTTTATCACTAACAGTCACTACAGGTATAGTATCGGTTTGAAATGAAGCAAAATTGCCAAAATCATCAGAATTTGTTGCATCATATGATTCAAATCCTGGAAATTCATCTTTAATGGGCTCTACATTAGTTGCATCAGCACTTAAAAAATCACCAAAATCATCATCTACATTTACAGTTGCATTTGATACCTTTTCAGAAGATTGTTCTTTGTTATTAGATGACTTTTCTTTACTTTTTGCAAATATCTCAGTTTTTTTATTTTTATCAAAACCCCAACTTGAAGTATCTAATTGTGTATTTTCCTGCAGAGCACGAAATATACTATATTTATCTTCATCAGGTGACATCAGGTCAGATTCAGCTTGCTTTGTTTTTGTCTCCTGAGATGTTGGAAAATTGGCAACAAAGGACATTTTTTTTGAAGATATTACAGGAGCTTGTTTAAAATCATCAAAATCATCTACTGTATTATCTATAGTCTGAATTGATGGCACTTTCGTGGTTTCTTCTGTAAAAACTGTGGCAGATTTAAAATCTCCAAAATCATGAGCATCATCAGAAACTGAATCTTGATAAATAAATATAATTTTAAATATCTTTTAATAAAATAAAATGATTGAATACTAAAAAAAAATGTTTACCTGATTCTTTTTCTGTCACTTGTTCAATTTTTTGATCTGTAATTTTCTCAGCAGAGTTAAAATTTGACTGAGAAGAATCTTCAGTCAAAGATTTCAATACATTGCATGTCTGATTGTTTGCAGCTATAGAATCATTAGTGGGTACTTGAGTTTCCAATACTGGCTCATTCAAATTATTTTGTTCCTCTGACAAAGTATTCATTGATGTAACTGGTAATACAAAATATTGTAATACTGGAATAACAGGCTGAGGTATGGAATGAAGAATATCTGTTGATGTTATTGCATGTCCCATCTAATTAAATTTGAAATTTTTATTTAATTATTATTACATTATTACATTTAAAACTATAAAAATATAAAATGCATTAAAATGATAATTTTGTTAAATGTCAATTAATAAATATATTTTGAAAGAAATGAATTTTTTGTATTTTTATTTTTTAAATACTAAAAAGTAATTCTAAAAACAAGTAAAGAATTTTTTGTTTATTCCTCTTATAAACATATTCATCACTAATAATTATAAATATGTGCAGTGTGTAGAATTCTGCTTTTAATGACTATGCTCACAAAATTTTTGAAACTTTTTACTAAATCTATTTTAAATTTACCTGAGCAAGACCAATTAGAGATAAAATAGCATACAATTCTTCACTCGTTAATTGTCCCGGATTAGTTTGATTGCACAATTCCCAAATTTGCCCAAGAATCTCTCTTTGTAATCCCGAAGAAGTCAAAATTGGATAAAGCAGAGTAGTGTCGATAGCATGATTTCCTTGATTTGTACATTCTTGCTCAATCTGATGATATATTGGTGGAACAAATTCTTTACAGCACCATTTTGGAAACCCTAAAATATTATTTGTTAAGAATTGTTATAATGAAGAAACAGAAATAAATTCTATTAAAAATCATAAGAAATTAAAATATATTCAATTCAATTTTTAACCATAAATTTAATTTTTGTGTACATTGATAAAAATGTCCTGTATCAATAAATTTATAATTTAATTTGACAAAAAATTTCAAACATGTATTTTATTAATAACTGCCAACCAATAAAATAATTTTGTAATCATCATTTATGATATATATATTTTTCCACTTTGCAGACATTAAGATAGCCTTTTTTGTGTCCATCAATCATAGATTCAGCCAAATATACAATGGAACAATTTGGTAACAAGGAGTGGGACCCAACATATTTATTCAAATCACTACAAAAAAATTTCTGAGAATTTAACTTACACTCAAACTCAAGTCCCTCAGAACAATAGAATGACACTTGAATGTATTTCAGTACAGCATTTTAAATTACATTTTAACTGTCAATAATTTAATATTTTTGTAAAAAAATTTGTGTTCATAAAAGTACTGTAATTGAGTACTTGATTTGTGAATTCCATTCTGACAGGTAAAACAAAAAATTTTCAAATTCCTCTCAAATATCTGTGTGACTCAAAAGTTGATTTAATATCTTTATAAAATCAAACTGAGTTGGCCAGAGGATACTGGCATGATAAAAACATGTTATTCCTAAGGGCAGCTGTCTTTACGTTATATTAATTGGGCAGCCAACATCTTGAATTCACCTCAAAATGTTTAAATGGAGAGAGAGTCAAGCAATATATGAAATGGAGCTAGAATTTTGAGAAATACAATGGTGTATTTGTTCTCACCTCTTTAATCTAGGATAAGTTATAAAGAAGTTAATATAATCAATTTCTTCTTTTCCATGCACGAGGAATGAATCCAGATCATTGTGATGTCTGAAGACAGAAATTCACATGACACCTAAATCATGGTTTATTTTTTGACTGATTCAGTCTCTTGTAACAGTAATTGTGTAACTGCCACATATGACAGATGGAGATGTCATTGATTAAAATCATTTGTAATGTCATGATTCAATGATATCAATTGTTCTCCCCAGAAATCAGGATGACCTAGATTAAAGTTCCTCACACATTAGACACATCCTAGCATTGTTCTGTCACCCCTAGAAAAAGAGAAATTGGTTAAATTCATTTATTTATAACTTTTCACAGATTAAAGAGGTAGAAAACAAATATTCCATTGCATTTCTCTTGAAATTTGAGCCTTGTTTAATGTATTGCTTGACCCCATTCCCATTTAAACATGTTGAGGTAAATTCAATTGGCAACTGTCTGAATGACACATACAAAATGGTTTTCTATAAGTATAACATGTTTCTATCATGCCAAAATTTCCCGTCCAATTCAGTTAGATTTTATAAGGATGTTATGTGACTTTTGACTCACCTGTATAGTTTAAAAAACAGGTATACATTTCTTCACTAAACAGCCTTTTTTCAGGTACATAGTTATTTAACAATCATATTCGTAATGAATATCTGTCATTAAAATCTTTGTAATCTGCATTTATTAGATTAAGAATTAGATTAGATTTATTAAACAATAATGCTACTACACAGAATTCAAATATCATATTTCCTTGGTTCCACGATGCATTTTATATACAGTTGTGTCCAAAATTAAAGCAACAAACATAAAATCTGTATAAAATCAATACCATGAAATGTGGGAAGTGAAAACTTACATCAATATATAAATCAGCAAAGTGCAATCCTGTCACATAACTGTCATGCAAACAAGGTATGACAGCAGTGCACCTTGCAACAAAATGTAATGCACTATATGTACAGTGAAATCTTTTCTGACAACCATCCATCTGCTAGGATCACTAACAGTGAGGAAATGTTCCTGATACATCAGACAAGTGTTTTAAACTGTTTTAATTAATTTAAAAGAAAATAAAACATTAGTTTATTAAGAAAAAAAACACTGAATATTTTCTACTTTTTATAATTAATTTTTTATTATCTAATAATGAAAAATAAAACAAAGGAAAAATAATTCAATTATTTTGTTTATAAAGTATTTCCTTTATTTTAATTAGATTTTTCAAATGTTTCAAAGTTGATTTATAAATATCCACAAAAAGAAATGATAGTACTGATGTAACAAATAGTCAGATTGCTATCAAAAAATTTTATCTTTATAGTTATATATACTTGTGTTGTCTCAAAGTAATTTATAAATCCAGAAAACATTAAATAAATAATTTTAATCTTTAAAATGTTATTAGAATTTATGATCCATGTTTAAATAGTAATTTTATTTTATTGAACATTAGTATTCATTTTCTCACATCCTCTATATTAAATAACAATTCTACATTCAGGCATATATTTAAGTAATATAAAATTATACAGTAATAATAATATAACTTCAGCAATCTTACTTGGTTTTGGAAGTGTAAACATATCTTGTAATTCATTTATCTGAACTCTGTTCCAATCACAAGCTTTTTCACTAGCAGAAAAACTTGCAGTATGTTGCAAAGTAGGTTGAATATCTTTTACAGAAGGTTTTTGAAAAGTATTAGCTTTGTGAGGACCATTAAGATTGACACATTTACTCATCATATTGTCTAAAGCTAAAATTGTCTTTATTAATTTATAAATTTTTGAATATTTTAAAAACAATATAAACTGAATACATACCTTTAACATTACCTTTAGTATTTTTAACAGACTGTTTAAAAGCTGTTTCAGGAAGTGATTGATTTTCTTTTTGCTTTCCTTCTTTAAATACTGGAGAAACTAATTCCTGATTAGATACACATTTTTGTGGAAGACTTTTATAATTTTCTTGATCAACTTTTGTTGCCACTAATTAAAAAGATTAATTAATAATAATAATAATATTATTTGTGTACTGATTAAATTTAAAGACCATCTGCCTACCTGTTGTATGCAGTGAACTAGAAGAGTGTTGTTTCTCAGTTTTAGTTCCAAATAAATTTTCTAAATATTGAGTAGAATTTAAATTTGATCTTCGATTTGCTACATTAAACTGTTTCAGTCGTTGTTGTTGTAACTGAAAATTTCTTTCTCGTTCTAACTTCTTTTGTTCTTCTAAATATTTCCCACTATCTGGGGCTACAATGCTAAAATATATATATATAATATATAGACCATTCTTACAATTTATTTTTCCAAGATTTTTGCAATTTAAATCCATTTTCAAGACTTGCAATAAAAATTTTTTAGTCTTACTCCATAAATTTCTATATATTACAGCTATATTGGAAATCAATCCACTCACCCAACTGATTGTATGTTGGTTGCCATAGTACCTCTATCCGATGCCACCTGCCCAGCTATGGGTACCACTGGTCTAAAAGTTCCCTGAATAAATTAGCAGACATCTTGTAACAACAAAGATAATACTTTTTAATTTTATCAATCATCAAGTAAATTAATTTAGTACAATTATTAAATGACTTACTAAAAGAGGAGGTTGAAAGGATGGAGTTTGAGAATAAAATCTTGTTTGCTGCAGAGAATATCCAGGATGCATGTTATACATTTGTTGTGGAAGTTGAGGATTATACATCATCTGCTGTTGCCCCAGAATTGGTGTTTGAACTGGTAATGCCTCATTGGTTCCAGGAAATAGTCTACTAAAATTTTTTCAATCAAAAAACATTATAGTTTTACATATCACATTGATTAAACAAACAAAAACTTATTTAGAAGCTTTAAAAAAATCTTTAATTTTATATCATTTTATTTATAATATTTAATATGAAATTATATTAAGAAAAAGTTTTCAATTAAAGAAAATAATTTTGAAATATAAATTAATAAAATAACTTATAAAAAATATTTTAAACTTCAACACACTATATATTCAGTACTAACTAAACATTAGCATCTTAATATTTTAATAACATTATGTACATCTATAAATTTTTGTCTGATGGAGATTATATTATTTTTTAAAAGTGAAGACAAAGTCTGCCCAAAAGGGACCACCATTTATTTTCTTTGTGTTCCAGACAATACACTTTCTTGGTGACTGACCTTTCTTTTTAGGCTACTTGTCGCCAAAAGCTAAAAAGTCCTTTTAAAAACACAAAAATAAATCCTTTTATAGAAATACTTGCAATTTTAATTGGCTATATTTTTGTGTTTTTAAAAGCACTTTTTAGCTTTTGGCAACAAGTAGCCTAAAAAGAAAGGTCAGTCACCAAAAAAGTGTATTGTCTGGTCTGAAACATGAAGAAAATAAATGGTGGTCCCTTTTGGGCAGACACTGTCTTCATTTAAAAAAAAAAAACATTATGTATCTTATGTATAGGTCTCTTTAATCCAGAAAAATTCCTATCATACAACTTCAAGATCAAGAACATTATTTATTGAAATATCAGATTACACATGCACTTGATGTTAAGAATATGTATCCAAACATTTAGTGGAAATTGATAGAAACTAGCCTTAAAGATATGAACGTGGATAAATCATTAATAAAACTTATAAATTTTGCTTATACAAGAAATTATTTTGAAGTGTATACTGAATATTACAGACAAATTGATGGTATTAGTATGGGGTCAAAGATGGGGCCAGAATTAACGGAATTGGTAATGATGAGTATTGATGAAAAAATAAATAATATTTCAGGGGTAAAGATTGTGATGCGTTATGTAGACGATTATTTATTAATGTATAATAATGGTGTAACTGATGAAAAAATTATCTTAAATGTAATAAATAATATTAACGATGATATAAAATTTGATACAGAAAAAGAAAAACAAAGTCAAATAAATTATTTAGTTATTACGATAATAAATGAAATAAAAAACTTTTCTTTTAAAACATAAAAAACCATGTAAAGTAAATAAAACTATTAATTATCATTCATATATCCCAGATACTATAAAAAAATAATACATATATTATGGCCTTAAAAAATATATACACAAAAACATCTAATAATACTGAACGTGAAATAAAATTAAAAGAATTAGATTCTAAGTTTATCTTTAATGATTATCCTGTGAGAAATTTGATAAGTTGGCATAAACAATATTACAAAAATAGATTCAACACAAAATACAAAAGAGATAAAAATTATAAGGCTTTTCCATATGTTAAAAGTATTTTTAATAAATATAATAAAATCCTTAAAAAGGACAATATTGTTTTGCCCCATCTTTGACCAACAAGATTTCACATAATGTTTATAATCTCATGGAAAAAGAAAAAATTATAATAATATTATGAACAAACTTAAAAAAATAGGTGTAGTATATAAGGTTAATTGTGATTGTCAAACTCCTAAAGACTATATCAGTGAAACAGGCCAAATGTTAGAGCTAAGAATTAAGGAACATGAGGCTGCTATAAGGTTGAAATATAATAATTCCCCATGGTTTAATCATATAAAAGATAGTAATTGTCAGATTAACAGAAATAATATAAAAATTCTCCATTCGGAAAAAAATACTTATAAACATAGGTTTAAAGAACATATTGAAATCATGAAATATTCGGGGAAAAATCTGATAAACATTTCGAATGGTATGCAAATTGATACCCAAAGGTATAACCTAATAGAAGGTGCCATAGTAAAAAATTCTTCATAGTAGTGAATAGGCTTGTGTGTATGGTAGGGTGTATAGTAAGGTTTATTTTTGAAACAAGTAAAACGACAAGGCCGTGTTTAGGACAAGACTATGTCTTGGAGACTCACTACTAAGCGGAATCACTTTGACACTCAAGGCGAGTCTCGTTTTCATTCTCCAATCTTTTTTGGTATTGCTGCTTTTGGGCGCGATCATTCAAACTTCGGAGGCCACGACCATGAGGTCGTCCACAATGCATTTTCAATGAAATTAACCTATCCAATTTCGAAATTTCTCTCCATTGTGTTACTAACAGTTTCTCAATTTATTGTAATATAGCACTGAAGAGGGGCCTAGAAACAAAAAGGCCCGAAATGCATATGTAATCTATATTTCAATAAATAATGTTCCTGATCTTGAAGCTGTAAGGTAGTCTACTGGATTTCTGAATATACATAAGAACGAATAGACAGCTATCAAATTATAGAAAATTGTGAACATTATGTATATTTACTTCAAAACATTGATGACATTAAATAGTATATATCAGGGGTGGCCAACCTGCGGCTCGTGAGCCACATGCGGCTCTTTGAAGGATTATTTGTGGCTCTCGATAAATGTACCCGAGTTCCGTTTTCATTTTTGTGTTATTATATTTTAAAAAATTATTATCGTTCCGTATGTGTTTCAAAATGTTTTTTAAATTACTAACAACAAATATAAAAGACTAAGTGCAACGTTGTAACAAATTTCATTTCCGTCCAAGTTAAGAATGATATGACTCATCGAAAACTGCGTGAACGAACGAACATAAACAGTGGCGTAATCGTCCGTTATCGACCGACTCCAGACTGATTTTGAATTTGTAAACTGTCATTGCAATGGACAGTTGACATTGTTCTCTGGAGGAAAAACAATTTGTATCACTCTTGCTATGAATATAATTTGTAATCTGGAATTTTTTGCATACCTTTTTAATACGTATTTAATTGCAGCTCGCAAAAAATTCCAAATTTTGAAAAATGGCTCGGACTATCAAGGAGCTTGGCCACACTGGGTATATATAATATAAAATACTCAATATTGTATATTTAAAATATTACATTATCTTTTAAGGAATTGATGCTACCCAGTACATTAGATGACAGTACATTAGAACCCAAATTATTCAAGCCCTGATTAACTGCACATTATTCAAAGCAAACTTATAAGTGAATACATTACTTCTCTAATACTGTAATCCATAAAAAAAAAGTTTAAAACAATAACATATTACAAAGTGATTTGTTCCTGTTACCTTTTTTTCATTTAATTTCAATATGAGACAAACCAATTCATATTAAAATGTAATAACAATAATACAGATTTTTATTCTTAAAACTACAGTTGACCCCCCTATAATTACGGTCCCTATAATTACGATTCCTATAAAACTACGAAAAAATATACGTATTTTGGAAATGTTGAGTCGGATTAGTGTAGAATCGATTAATTTTATGGAAGAAAACCTTTCAATCAGCCATAGTCCGTAAATTTGACACGTGTCGGGCTGTGATTGGAACGACTTGTAAGAAATCGGATTCCTAATAAATTGGAACGTATCTATATCTTATAGGGGGGTCGACTGTATTGTATTGTACATATTAGCTATATAATAATGATGTAAAAATTGTTGTTTTTATATATGATTAAATTCAATAAACCATAAAAAAAGTTTTAAAAGTGATATATCATATAAATGTTTTATATTCATAATTTTTCATCTGAAATGGTCTAGGTTATCTGTTTTATTTGTATTTTCGATTATATGAAGTAGCATCGGTCCACATTATTCAAGATAATCAGGGTTATACTGTATCAAGAGAAATTTGTAGTTTATTTGATATTTAATTACTTAAAGATATAAAGCTGGATTGTTTAGATCTTTACATCTTTGACTATTTGAATATTGCATTTTGATTTATGTTTTTACATTTAATCATACTATTACAATATTGAATTGTAAAGAAAAATTTTTATTTCTGTATTATTTTCTTAGAAAAAAATAATTTTATGAAATGATTTATGTGAATAATTTTTAAAATTTATTTATTTAAATGTTTGTAAAGAATGAGAAAACTTTAAATTATATAAATACATTTCCTGAATTTATTTTAAAATATATTTGTATACAAATATGCATTGTTGTATACAAAAATGTATATGTATACAAAAATGTATACAAAAATGCAAGAATACATTCTGAGAAATATGTCATTAACAGGGCTGTGGAGTCGGAGTCGGAGTCGTGGAGTTTTGGTGTTTTAGTCGGAGTCGGAGTCGGATTGGTAAGGAAAAGTTGGAGTCGGAGTCGGTAGATTTTTACGCGACTTCACAGCCCTGGTCATTAAGCAACTTTGTTCTTAAACAAACATCATAGAGTGTACTTAAACAAACCTATATCATTTACCCTACTACTCATGCAGGCTTTACTTAAAAACTGTATTACAATGATAAGAATTTATATAACTAAGCATATATAAAAGATACAGATGGATACAAAATTTTCAGCTGCATTATAATCTTATGAGATATGCACTATGTATACAGTCCATCATTAACATACCTGTATTTAAATGCCATATCATTACTTTAAAGAAAACAATTTATTAAATGACTATTTATAAAACATGTTATATTTAAAATTTTTAATATAAAGTAATGAAAACAAAAATAATAAGTATAATATAATTTCAGATATTTTTTGTATTTATAAAGAAAAAATAATAAATAACACAAATACATTTATTCTATTTGTTAGAAACAATTTCATTTTCATTTTTNATGAAAATAAAATGTAAATACAATGTTTTAAAAGTAATTATTTATTGATAATTGATGGATAAAATAAAATATAATTGATATCTGTTCTATTTTGTTATTAAATAAAAATTTTTACATTAATGAAAATTGCGATGTATATAATTTATAAATATCTATTTCAAATTTCTAAACCAAATTATTATTTCCACTTTTTTTTTTTAATGATAATAGAACCTTTTTAATTGCCAATTTTAAACTAGGATGTATGTATTTATGGATTCTACCATAACTTTCAAAGGATTTATTATGTCAGAAAAGAAACACAAGTGTATAACAACTAACAATATAAAATATTGATTGAGAAGATGTCAAAGGGACCAAAAATATATTTCACTGTCAATGATGTAAAAAAAAAACTGTCAATAAAAGAACAAAAGACACTACTCATTGTAAGAAAAATATATGAGAAGCCTATATTAAACAAATACGAAATATTTTGGCATTTTATTAATAAATAAATAAGTGTGTGTGTGTGTGTGTGTGCGCACATACATTTTTAAACATAATCATCATAAAGTAATAATTTGGGAAATGTATTACAAATGTATGAAATAGCATGCATTCCATGCATGAAAACCTTTCTGGTTTTCCTTGATTCATTCCCACATGACAACTGGAACTTCTGTACCAAATGAAAAGCATTAACTTTTCAATATTTCTTTTAATTTGGAATTTGATCTGAAAGTTCCAGAAGTTTGTTGTTACTAGATTATCTGGGCTGTTAATGGCTATGATGAATAACCTATAACTTCAGGTTCTTAAATTTCTTTACTCATAATGAAAGTTCTTCTGGTCTTATTCTCAAATACATTTTGAGTGTTTGTAAGACTTCCCAATTTTTTACCAAATTGATTGTTTTCCCCTTTGCTTACAACCTTTCAAACACAAAATTCAATCACTGCTGTTTTGCATGAAATGAAGAAGACCAGATTTGATTGCTATGCAAAGACAACACATACTGTATAGACTTTGTAGTACATACAAAGTCTATACAGTATGTGGGCAATTCCAGTTACTATGATGTAACTGAATAAGCGAGATGTTATACAGGATGATCGGAAAATGTCTGGCCAAAATTTAAAGGGGGTTAGAGGGAACGAATATAAAAGGATTCGCAATACAATGCTTATCCGGAAATGATGCATGAAAGTGGTAGAGGGCACTGTGTAGGGCAGTCAAAACAAGCCGGCAATGCAAAAAGCTGTTATTTCCCACTGTGATTTCATACAGCATGCAGCACTTTACGAATACTGAACTAGCAGATATCCATCTGATGTATGAAGCTGCAAATGGAAATGGGAGAGCTGCGCAAAGGTTGGGGCTTATTAATAAAGGGCTTGTTACATTTGTTTTTCTCTCTTTCCTTTTACCTTTCCACTTTCTTTACTCTCCAGGACTTTCATGTGGCATTTCTGGACAAGCATTGTACTGCAAATCCTTTTATATTCGTCCCCTCTAACCCCCTTTAAATTTTGGCCAGACATTTTCCGATCACCCTGTATATAGTTGTACACAGTATTTAATATACTTTATTTATCCTTATTTTCACAAAATTAGTCACACAAAAATGCTTAATGTCATTGCTCATAACTATTGACTATAGATGGCCATTCAATTAAGCAAAGTCATCCAATTAACAAACGAAATTTATCACCAGCAGAGTAAGCAAAGAACTTAGTAATTGGAAACACCTATAGATTAATTAATACTATTTTAAAAAGTCACTAAAAATTGATGTAATTTTAATATTAAAATATGAATTACAAAGATTGGCAATATTTATTTCTACAAACTAATATCAAACTTTTCTTTATTTTATCTTCATATCTAATAATAATAAAGGCAACTCATAATACAAAAATCCAATAGAAAAATAAATATCAGTTACAGAGGCCTTAGAAAGTAAAATTCAAAAAGAATAAAAGTTTTTTAAAATAATTTCGACGGACGATTACTATTAATAATATAAGATATTTCCACACGGCTGATTTTATATGCTCAGGTTGTTATTAAGGAAAACATCAAACTAAAAATATTTTCAATAATTAATATTATTGTTATTCAAAATATTTTATTACATTTAAACCATGTTTGGTAACAAAATTAAAAAAACATAAAAAATAAACCTTGTTAAAGTTTTAATCAAATATAAAAATTTATTAATTATCCAAAATTCTGAATATTTAATTTAATAAATTTATAGGATTTATAGAAAGAAAAGCATATTAAAGCAGCAAAAGTGTTATAAGCTGTCATTACAGCTTTAAGTAAATATTACATATCACATATTGACGTGTAACATTTACCATCTTGTTTGTAGGGTAGAAGTTACCTTTAGATAATTTGTATATAGGTGAGTCTATGTGCAAGGGAGCTAAAAGTAACCTCTGCCTATTACATCATCGAAACTCAAGATATTTGTTTCTATTATAACCGGATTTTATTTAAAATTGTTTAAATAATGAAATTCTTGTGTTAAAGTTTTATTCCCACTAAAAAAGTATTCTAAAATTTGCACGTAATTAACAAATTTCCAGATATTTCAAGGATTTTGAAAGCTCTAACTAGCGACTAACCTTCCTGAGTTCTGTTCCCGAAACGCCATTTTGTTTCTCTTACGAATATTCATGAACGAACGAAATGAAAATAAAATGTAAATACAATGTTTTAAAAGTAATTATTTATTGATAATTGATGGATAAAATAAAATATAATTGATATCTGTTCTATTTTGTTATTAAATAAAAATTTTTACATTAATGAAAATTGCGATGTTTTTATGAGACTTTTTTATTCGTTTGAAAAACGAAAATTAAAATTAAAAAAGAAATTATTCCGAGGAAAATTAATAATTGTTTAATTATACAGTCTACATAGTTTACTTTATTTTTATTTTTGACTCTCCTCCCTATCGGCACTTTTTGAAGATCCACAATCAGACGGCAGGATGGCCGAGCGGTCAAGGTGGCAGCCTACCGATCTGGGGAGCCGGAATCGAATAATCTCCAGGAATATTTCGGGGATGGTCCGTCCGGATATGTCGGGTCCCGTCTCTCAACACCCGGCCGCTCATTGTGGACCTGGCCGAATCCATAATGGGCTTGCAAGAAGAGGCCCTCTTATGCCCACAGGGCGGAAAAAGTTTAAAAAAATGCCCACAATGAGGTGGGTGAATGCTGAAATACGGGGTCCGACATATCCGGTCAGACTGAAAAATTCCTTGGGTTATCTGCCTGGATAGCCCAAAGCGTTGGGGTGGAGCTTTTATGCCTTTGCATTGTATCTAATGCCATTGTAAATAAAAGATTTAATTCACAAATATATTCTCAAAACAAATATTCCGTGAATCGAAATATCGTTCATCCGAGTTGTTAATTTATAACACAACAGGTGTAGACGGCCCTGATGGCCGAGCGGTGAAGGTGACAGCCTACCACTCCGGGGATCCGGGATCGAATCCTGACGGATCAAGGAATCCCCAGGAATTTTTCGGGGGAGTGGTCCGTTCGGATATGTCGGGCCCCGTCCCTCACCACCCAGTTGTCCCATTGTGGGCCTGGTCGAACCCATAATGGGCCAGCTATCAGAGGCCTCTTAGTGTCCACAGGGCGAAAAGAGTAAAAAAAACACACACAACAGGTGTTATTGATAATAGAGTTTTCAAAGTTAATAGATGTTATTGATTATCAAAAGTAATTTTTAATTTAATCGAGGAGCGCCGATTGTATATAACATACATGTATGCTTTTGCGCAGATTATAAAAGATATATACGGTATGTTTCCGACAAATGAGTGACGCCATTGCTCTTAAGTTAATTTGCATTATTACATCGATAAATACTTCTGTAAACATTTTAAAAATTTTAAACGAAGTAAAGTGAAGCATTTTCAATTATACAGTTGTACAGTGAAATAATTTTAAGTATATTTAATAAAATAAAGTATATCGTGAGAAGTAGTTATTTAAAAAGCTGTGACATTATAAATCTGTCAAAAATCATTGAAATCTATCGAATTTTTCCACTAGAAATATTGAATTTCATTTTAGAAAGCCTGCTGTAAGGACAAAATGAAGTGGCTAGATGGTGGAGACAACTAACAAGTAAGACATAAGCCTACTGCTCTGAGGACCCGGCAGTGAATCCAAGCAAGCAATCACAGAAATTTTCTACGGGTAGTTTATCCTGGATATATCGGGTCCCGTCTTTCGACTTCGGCCGTGCCCATTGACGCCAAACCAAGTTCACAATGAAATAAAGATCTATATACTCACAGGGCGAAGAGTTGTAGAAACGAAAATTAAGGTTGAATTGCACATACTTTTTAATATGGTCTTGCACTTTTAATAATGAAACGGTAAAATCATATTTGCAATTAATATCATATGTTTGTAAGGATTCGAATGGCTAAAAGTTAACTTTTTTAAGTTTATGAATTGCCATGTTCCACTGTAAGCCTAATTAGCGTTTCATCTAAACATCACAGAAACCTTATTATCATTATTGCAATTGTCCCATGCGATAATGACATGATGTCACTGTTCTCTAGTGTTGCGCAAATTAATTTATTTGTGTTCATTTGAGTGTTTCGAAACACAAATCAACTTAGTAAAGTAAGTTTACTCTTTGTTTCGAGATTTCACTCATTGACGAAACCACTGAACACACAACTGAACTCATATGTTCATTTTAGAAAGCCTGCTGTAAGGACAAAATGAAGTGGCTAGATGGTGGAGACAACTAACAAGTAAGACATAAGCCTACTGCTCGGAGGACCCAACTCACACACACAACTGAAACTCAACCAGTGAGTGTAATGCACGATTTTAGCCCATACATCGAAACTCAAGGCTCTCGATGAGATATTACAAACACTCAGTTTGTACTGTTGTTTTTAGATTCATAACTTAGACTAAAGGGAAAATTCACGAAATAGGCGATGAATAAATAAGTAAATAAATATGAAATTAAATATTAAAAAATAAAAAAATGGCTAAATATAATAATCTATTCGTGAGCAAAAAAATTCATATTTCATTCTTTCCTTTAACGAAGCATCCTTACTAAAAATTCAGAAATGGACTTTTATGAGTTTTTAGTAGAATCGAAACCGCCGAGTGACCGGACAAGGACAAAAAAACCATATTGTGCGTCGGAGTGGGTTGAAAATACTACTTCAAAAGGTCTAGGGCATAATTGTAATCTAAAATTTCTTTCTTTTGGACTTTCTTAGAAAATTGAACTTTTCTATAAGCAATTTAATAAAAAGTAAAATACATCTGGATACAAGTCCAATTTTGCTTGCCATGTCCAATCACCAGGAACAACTATTTCCATTGCAGAGACAACCTTTCTTTAGAGGCTATGCCCCTGCACAAATATGTAAAACAGGTTCCTGGCGATTATACATGGCAAAAAAAATTGGACTCGTACTCGTATCCAGATATTTTACTTTTTATTAAATTGTAATTGTGCCAGCCCTTTTCTACAAAGAAATATTATATTTTTAATTGTGTTGGGATTGTCACCTGTGGACATTTTAAACTGTTTTACATATTTGTGCAGAGGCATAGCCTCTAAAGAAAGGTTGTCTCTGCAATGGAAATAGTTGTTTCTGGTGATTGGACATGGCAAGCAAAATTGGACTTGTATCCAGATGTATTTTACTTTTTATTAAATTGCAATTGTGCCAGCCCTTTTCTACAAAGAAATATTATATTTTTCTACAAGCAGTTTCTATTACTTTAGTCTATTTGTCTGCAGAGTCTGCACAAACTCTCTCACACACATTCTCCACGGTTTATGTGTATGTGTGTAATTTGTAAACTTGTGTAATAAAATAGTTTTGTCATAGTCGAGTGTCGTCACTTTCCGCCGGATCCACGTGACATTAACCTTCAAAATAAGTTGTGTAAAAAATTTTTTTCGGGGTTTGCATAGGCCACTAACTCGGGCCTGACACAATTTAGATAAGACTTACTTTAAGCAGTGAATAGTGAATGGAAGAAGTTTTATTTACTAAAACACAAAAAATTAGCTGTTTTTTTTTTCTCTTTCCGTCCTGGGGCACTAAGGGGGTCTCATTTAGCACTAATGTAGCGAGAGGGCAAGGGGGTCTATCATGTCCCGGGCACCACTTGCAGAGGGGCAAGGACTTTAAACTACAAGGATAGCCAGATCCCGTATATTTGTTAGCGTGACGTCACAGCAAGCCCTCTACTTCAACATGACAGATCTTTCAAATAACAAAATACGATAGAATATTAAATCATTTCTTAATTAATTATTCAATTACTACTAAATGTAAACTACTGTAGAATTTTCGGATTTAATAAGTGTACTGTACGTCAATAAATTTACAAGTCTTTTGTCTAATATTTATTAAACAAATTAATGAGCTATATTTTTTATTATGTGATTATCTTACTTAACTTTTTAATTTTTTTTCGACAATCACCATTTTCAAAAGGCATTCTTTTCAATATTTTATAGTTTTCTTGTTTAAGATTTCTATAATTAATTCTTATTATAGTTCTTAATTTACAAAAATCTTTTATTAAAGTAAAAGGTAAAACTGTTTCCACTGACTAATTCTGTACAACTCCGGGGCCTTTTTTATACGATTCATCGTGATATATTTCGAAATATTTATTCCATTCTATAATTTTTGCTAGCCATTCATCAGTAGGTTTAATAAGCCCTCCATAAGATAAATGTTGCACC